GTGGGGGTCGGAGTGGCTCGTCTTAGCGGAGCAGCTCTGGGGGTGGTCAGCGCCAGCAGCAGCAGCAGCAGCAGCAGCAGCAGCCACAGCAGCAGCAGCGCTCTCGCACCGTCCCCGCCCCTCAGCAGCTCCGTGAGTGGTACTTGCAGCGTCAGCGTGGTGGTGTGTTTGGTCCCTGCCCCTATGTTCTTCGCACCGGCGACCGTGCGGGGGAGAGGTGTGGAGGCACCCACACAGCCCGCCGCTGCTTTGGCCGCCTGACCGACGCCTGTCGTCAGCAGTTTCCGGAGGCCGCTGAGATCCCCCGCTGGGGGGAGCTGTCTAGGGCTGGTGTAGCAATTTATGATCTTGACTTTGATGCTATTCTTTCTGCTATGTATGCTGTGACTGGTAGTGATGAGGATGACTGTTACCGGTGTTTCCCGCCCGACCCGGCCATTGGTACTGCTGCGTCAGGTACTCGTGAGGCTGCTGCTCTAGGTGCCAGTGCGTCTGTGCTCTCAGGTACTGGTGAGTCTGCCCTCTCAGGTACTGTGTCGGCTTCGGCCTCTCACACCTTCACCCTTGACTCAGGAGCGTCTCGCTCCTTCTTTCGGGACCGCACCACTCTCACGCCGCTGAGTCGGCCGGTTGCGGTGTCCCTGGCTGACCCCTCTAGGGGGCCTGTCCTGTCTCGCTTCTCCACAGTCCTCCCGTGTCCGGCGGCTCCCTCTGGCACCCTGACTGGTCTCTACCTCCCCTCATTCTCTACGAACCTGGTGAGTGGTGCTGACCTACAGGATGCGGGTGTCCACCAGTTCACTCCTGCTCGTCAGCGGGTGACCCACTGCACGGAGGCTGGCACAGGTCGCCACCTGGCTACGTTTACACGTCGGCCGGGGTCGAGCCTGTACACACTGACCACTGCTTCTCCTCCAGGTACTGAGTCTGGTAGGGTCCCTTCGTCTGGTCAGGTGTTTGCTGCAGCGTCCAGGTCTGGCCCTGAGTCTGCCCCCTGTTCGTGTCGTCGTCTGTCTCACGAGACCCTCCTTTGGCACCACCGCCTGGGTCACCCCTCTCTGCTTTGGCTCAGAGGCATGGCCTCCCGTCTTCTTGTGTCTGGTCTTCCCCGGTCCCTCCCTCCCCTTCCTCAGGGCCCTGGCCCTGCCTGTGTCCCCTGTGTCGAGGGGCGCCAGCGTGCTGCCCCTCACTCCTCCCAGTTTCCTCCGACAGAGGCCCCGTTGCAGACGCTTCACATGGACGTGTGGGGCCCAGCCCGCGTCCGTGGACAGGGTCAGGAGCGCTACTTCCTGCTCGTTGTTGACGACTACTCACGTTACACCGCAGTTTTCCCCTTGCGCAGCAAGGGTGAGGTCAATGAGGTGCTGTTCGACTGGATCCGCGCAGCTCGTCTTCAGCTCAGGCAGAGCTTTGGCTCCGACTTTCCTGTGTTGCGTCTGCACTCGGACAGAGGCGGAGAGTTCTCCTCTGGCCTTCTGCGTGCCTACTGTCGTGCGCGAGGCATCCGCCAGTCCTTCACGCTTCCGGACTCTCCACAGCAAAATGGGATTGCTGAGCGCCGCATTGGCATGGTCATGGACGTCGCCCGTACGTCCATGATGCATGCGGCTGCCCCCCATTTTCTGTGGCCGTTTGCGGTCAGGTACGCAACGCATTAGATCAACCTCCACCCCAGGGTCTCCAGGCCGGAGACCTCCCCAGCCCTGCTGTGGACGGGGAAGGTTGGCGATGCGTCGGCGTTCCGGGTCTGGGGATCTCGGGCGTTTGTCTGCGACTTGTCTACGGACAAGCTGTCCCCTCGCGCTGCTCCATGCGTTTTCCTGGGGTTCCCCTCCGACGCCCCTGGGTGGCAGTTCTACCACCCCACCTCTCGACGTGTTCTGTCCTCCCAGGACGTCACTTTCGACGAGTCGGTACCCTACTACCGCCTCTTCCCCTACCGCACTCCGTCCCTCCCCCCACCCCTGCTCTTCTTGGTACCAGGTCCCCCCCCGGTAGACCCCCTCCCCCCTCAGGGTCCTGCCCCTTCAGGTGTGTCCCAGGTAGACGCGGTCGAGCCTGTCGAGGTCACTGCTGACTCTGGTGCTGCTGCGGGTGCTGAGCCTGGGGGTGCTGAGCCTCGGGGTGCTGAGTCTGGGGGTGCGGAGTCTGGGGGTGCTGAGCCTGGGGGTGCTGAGCCTGGGGGTGCTGAGCCTGGGGGTGCTGAGCTTGGGGGTGCTGAGCTTGGGGGTGCTGTGCCTGGGGGTGCGGTGCCTGGAGGTGCTTCGTCTCGCCGTGAGCCACTCTCCCCACAGGAGCTGCGTGAGTGGTTTGCCAGACGCAGGAGGCGTGCTGCTGGTGCTGGAGGTTCTTCGACTGCAGAGGGTGCTACTGCCGCGGATCCCGGAGGTGCTCGTCTTGGGAGTACTTGAGCTGCTGGGTCTGAGGGTTCTCCTGGAGCTGGTGCTGCTGAGGGTGTTGGCACGGACGTCCTTGAGAACAGGCAGGAGGAGTTCCAGTGTCTAGCCGCCGCTTCACCTCATCTCGCGTCTGTACTACTAGCCCCTGAGGGAGACCCGGATGCACCAGACATCCCGTTTCCGCGCTCTTACGCGGAGGCGATAGAGTGTCCCTACTCCTCTCAGTGGCAGGCAGCTATGGATGCAGAGATGGCTTCCTGGAAGTCCACAGGCACCTACGTCGACGCTGTTCCCCCTCCTGAGGCGAACATCGTCAGTGGCATGTGGATTTTCAGGGTGAAGCGGCCGCCGGGTTCTCCGCCTGTCTTCAAGGCGCGTTACGTGGCTCGTGGCTTCAGTCAGCGGGAGGGGGTTGACTACTTTCAGACCTTCTCCCCCACCCCGAAGATGACCATTCTTCGGGTTCTGCTGCACGTTGCTGCTCACCGTGACTACGAGCTCCACTCTCTCGACTTCAGCACCGCTTTCTTGCAGGGCAGCCTGCACGAGGAGATCTGGCTGCGTCGCCCACCTGGCTTCACTGGGTCTTTCCCTCCTGGTAGGCGCCACGTGAGTGGCACGACACACTGAGGACTACGCTCGCGGCACTTGGGTTTGCTCCTTCTACTGCCAACCCGTCGCTGTTTCTGCGCACCGATACCTCACTGCCGCCGTTCTACATCCTCATGTACGTCGACGACTTGGTCTTTGCCACACCTGACACTGCTGGACTCGCCTACGTGAAGTCCGAGCTGCAGAAGAGACACACGTGCACTGACCTGGGTGAACTGCGTAGCTACCTTGGCTTGCAGATCACCCGGGACAGAGCACGCCGCACCATTACCCTGACTCAGTCACACATGGTGCAGCAGGTCCTTCAGCGCTTCGGCTTCACGTACTCCTCGCCTCAGGCCACTCCTCTGCCTACTCGCCACTCGCTCTCAGCTCTGCCTTCGGATGAGTCCGTAGAGTCGAGTGGCCTGTTTGCAGAGCTTGTTGGCTGCCTCATGTACCTGATGACCTGCACACGACCTGACCTTGCATACCCTCTTAGCATTCTCGCACGCTATGTTGCTCCTGGGAGACACCGACCAGAGCACATGGCTGCAGCGAAGAGGGTGTTGCGCTACTTGTGCAGTACGTCGGGCATGGGGCTAGTGCTTGGAGGGCGCAGTCCAGTGGTCCTCACTGGGCACGCAGACGCTTCTTGGGCTGACGACCAGGCTACACAGCGGTCGTCACAGGGTTACACCTTCAGCCTTGGTTCCGGCTCTGTTTCGTGGCGGGCTACCCGCTCGTCTTCTGTTCTCGGCTCCAGTTGTGAGGCTGAGATCTACGCTGGGGCTATGGCTGCACAGGAGTTACGCTGGCTCACCTACCTGCTGACCGACCTTGGAGAGCAGCCTCGTTCTCCTCCAGTCCTGTACGTAGACAACAAGGCCATGCTGGCCTTGTGTCGAGAGCAGCGACCGGAGCACAGAACGAAGCACATTGCTCTCCGCTACTTTCTTGCTCGTGAGCTACAGCAGCGTGGACAGTTGCGACTTGCGTACGTGGCCTCTGAGGCCAACACTGCTGATGTCTTCACCAAGGCACTTGCGCCTTGTGATCATCAGCGTTGTTGCACGCAGTTGGGTCTTGTGCCTGTCTTGCCTCACTTGCTCTCCTCTTGACCTTGCTTGTACCTTCGCCTATATATACTCTTGCTCTTACTTACTCTTGACTCGTGTATATCTCTATATATGATCTTGCATGTGAACTGGCCTTCTGGCCTTTGAACTTGTGCTCGGAATGCGTGGTGACTTTGTGATCCACCCTGAGCTTTGCTTTGCTTTGCTTGACTGGTCTTGTGACCCCTTGTTCTCCCCCACTTTGCCTATGGGGGTGTGTCAGAACATATAGCTTACTTGTTTTTGTAGGCTATAGTGGGGTATCCCATAGGGGGTACAACCCAATTAGGGTTTCCTATTTGTACTCACTTCGTTCATAGTTCATTCATTTCCTCGTTCATATCTTCTCAAGGCCAACTCGGGAGTGGCTCGGTGCGACGAAATAGGAAGGTCAGGCTCGTCGCGTGACCCTCGGGATGGCCTCGCTAACGAGTGCCTCAGTAAGGATTTGTAAATCCTTACAGTTTGACTCGTAATTACACATGTTATAGAATGTTATCGGGTAACAGGACCTCAACGAGAATGTACTTCCGCCAAGCAAGACACGCCCTTAGTTTTACGAGCCAGTCTGGATTGAGTCGAGCCCATTTATTTCAGTCAAACCTGCTAACACAGCGCATCACACGAGTAGTAGTAGTAGATGCATTGAAAGAAACGAGCGGCCGATATCGCGCATCGTCGTGACGATGCTGGCGGCGCTCGCATGGGAGGTCGCCACCTTCCATTCCTCCCATCTGAGGTGCGTGAGAAAGGCTTAAGCCTCTGAAACAAGAGGTCGCGTCACACTCGAGTTGTAATAATAAAACCATCGAAGAAAACAACGATCGATCGCGTCGTCTCGTGTAGTGAAAACCTCGGGGGTAACAAACGAGCGATCGCACGAGGAGTCACGATGCTGGCGGCGTTCCTCGCGGCGCTCGTCTTCTTCCATTCCTCCGAGTTCCTCCTCGCGCTCTGGTCCACCGGCAAACCCGACCTCCGATGTAAGCCGCCTCGCCTTCCCCTCGCCTCGCCTTCCCCTCGCCTCGCCTTCCCCTCGCCTCGCCTTCCCCTCGCCTCGCCTTCACCTCGCCTCGCCTTCCCCTCGCCTCGCCTTCCCCTCGCCTTGCCTTCCCCTCGCCTCGCCTTCCCCTCGCCTCGCCTTCCCCTCGCCTCGCCTTCCCCTCGCCTCGCCTTCCCCTCGCCTCGCCTTCCCCTCGCCTCGCCTCGCCTTCCCGTCTTCTCCTCGCCAATCCGTCCCCTCTCCTCTGCGTCTCTGGGAAGGGCGTCAATTGCGGGGGCGCTGTGTTGACACTTCAATGCGCCTCCACTCTTCCATCCCCCAGCCTTAACCCATCCCCTCCCCCCAGCAGTCCAGCCATCTTTCTCTCAAACATCCCTTCCCTTCGCGGCGCTGCAATGCCTCTCCCCCCCCCCATCTATCCCGCCAGTCTCATCCTTCCCGTCCTTTTACACTCCTTTTCTCCCAGCCGCCCATCCTAATCCTGCTGTAGTCCCCTCCCCACGCCCTGTCCTTTTCTGTGGCCCTAGGCGCTTTTGTGGGGGCCGCCGCTGCTGGAGGTGCTGCTGCTGCTGCCGCCTGCGTGTTCAAAATTTTCTTTCCCTCCCTCCCCACACTCTTCTCCCACTCCCATCCCTCTCCACCACTCCCCACCTCCCGCTAGCCATGCAGCGTTCCTCGTCTCGGGGGAGTATCTGCTGGCCATGGCAGCAGCGCTCACTGAATACGCCCTCGAGACCGCCCTCTTCCCCGCCTTCAAGCGCCGCCTGTGGCCCGTGGCGTGGGTGGGGGGGGCGCTGCTGCTGGCGGGGGAAGCGGTGCGCAAGGCAGCCATGGTGACGGCGGGGCGGAGCTTCACTCATGACATTCAGACGGAGAAGCGGCGCGAACATCGAGTGGTGACGCACGGGCTGTACAGGTGAGAGTTGGTGGCGTGGACGGGGGCGCAGGTGGTGCTGGTGACGCTGGTGGTGGTGGGTGAGGCGGTGCACAAGGCAGCAATGGTGACGGTGGGGAGGAGTTTCACACATGATAGTCAGACGGAGAAGCCGCGCGAGCACCGATTGGCCACTCATTGGTTGTACAGGTGGGCGGTGGTTGGATGAAGGTCATGCAGGTATGGGTTGTACTGGTGGGCGTTGTCTGGGTGGAAGGTGGTTGGGTTGGGTGCTTGTGTGTGCTCCTGTGGTGCGCCTGATGACAGCGATGGTGACAGGAGGAACTTTATCCATAACATTCAGGCTGCTCACACCTGGGCTGTACAGGGGGGCGTAGGTCGGGCGATCGTGTGATTGGTGGTAAGGAAGGGGTATGTGTGCTGATGTGGTGTGGTCCTCCCAGACGCACAAGAAGTGCAACCACTGCCCCGTGACACACGAGCAGTGCAGGTGGCAGCTGTCTGGGCGTTAATGCAGTGAAGGAGTGTGACTCAGGCCTGACACCACTTGGAAGGCAGCAGAGTGAACTATTGGGAGGAAAAAAGACTTGATCATGCCTGGGTGTTGAGATGCCTATTTGCACGGGCGTGTCACTGTGGCTCCTCTGCCTGCACCGCCAGCACTGCATGCATGTGTGTGAGCATTCCATGCCCAACCCATGTTCCCCACATGCCCATGGCAGGTGGGTGCGGCATCCGGACTACACGGGGTGCTTCATGTGGAGCATAGCCACGCAGTTGGTGCTCGTCAACCCCCTCTGCACGCTCGCCTTCGCCCTCGTCTCCTGGCGCTTCTTTGCCGCGCGCATCCCGTGAGTTTGTCCTCTTGCTTGAGTAGGAATCCTGTGAGTTACCCAGTGGGCTCGGAGTCATCCCATGAATCACCCTGTGGACGCAAAGGCATCCTGTGAGTTACCCTGTGGGCTCGGAGTCATCCCATGAATCACCCTGTGGACGTAGAGGCATCCTGTGAGTTACCCTGTGGGCTCAGACGGACTGGGGCAGGGCCTGCAGTGCCGGGTCGCCCTCATCTCCTGGCACTTCGTTGTCAGTCCATTGAAATCTGACGATGCATTGACGATGGAAGAGTTGCAATGCTGGAGGCTCGTCCAGAGTCCAGACCAGACACACTGTGACTCTCCATGCCCCTATTCCACATCCCCCAAACCCAAACCCCGTCCCCATACCGTTGTTTCAAGTCCCCCTCATTCCCTTGCCCCCAATTCCCTTTTCCCCGTCGCCTTCACCTCTCCACCACCATTTCCCAATCCCTCTGCTACTGCGCCCCTCTCACCAGCAATCCTCCTTCCACTGCCCCATTCACCATTCCCATCCCATCCTTCTCTTCTAGCATTCCTTTCATCTCCCCGACCGCCCCCCTCACCCTCCTCCCCCCTTCTCTCCCCCCCCTCCTCCCCGCAAACCCCCTCCAAAGCTACAAGGAGTTATATCTGCACCAGTTCTTGGGCTTCGAATACGTATAATTCGCCGCCTCTATCGTCTGCCATTCTCTTTGTCTCATCTGCTCCCACACCCGCCCATTCCCCACTTCTCCCCTCTCCCCCTTCCTTCCCCCAGCTACGAGGAGTTTTACCTCCACCATTTCTTCGGACTTGAGTATGCTCGATATGCCATCCAATTTTCCCTTCAACTCATCATGCTATTTCCCCTGCTCCCGTGACCCTAACCCCCCCTCTTTCTCCCCACATCTCAGCTACGAGGAGTTCTACCTGCACCAGTTCTTTGGCCTTGAGTACGCACGATACGCCGCCTCGGTGCCGTCCGGCATCCCCTTTGTCTCGTGACGCCAGGCCTCCACTCCCATTCCTTTCCTTGGGAGCAAGTAGCAGCACGGCACAGCATGGCACGAACGTTCCATGCGGAAAAGACCCTCAACAGCAGGGCAGAGCTCATTCAACCTGAGGCTCTGCAGAAGGGAATACATGCAGGTCCTTGCCAGTGCTTGGGATGCACCGACTGTGCTCCAGCCATGAGCAGCAAGCAGCAGCGTACCAGTTTGGAGCCGATGACAGCTGTCTGATTCCCCTTTAGTCTGAAATAGCCGAGTTGTCAGTAACGTTATGATCAATACATGATTATATTTAACTATGTTGGAAACAACAAATTCTAAGCGCCTCTGTCGTGTCGAAACACCAAGGCACAAGCGAAGCACAACATAGCGGAGCATCAGCGAGTCAACCCTCGGAGGTTGAAGAACTGCTGGAGGTTACGCGAAAGCCAAAGGTCAGCGACCTTTGACCTGACAAGTACGCGCGACAGCAAGGACACACAACTGACTCGTTACAGAGTAGTTGCCCGAGTCGTCACTGTATCGAACCACAAGAGCAACAGTTAAGTAGTTATAACTGTATCTCTTCGTATTCCTTGTACTCTTTTATAATCCTGTATCTCTTTGCCTTAAAAAATTCACTTTGCCCTCACATACCGTCACCCCCCGGATATACCCCCATGGGGGGCTATAATATAACATGTTTTTTTGAGGGGGTGGGCTTATAATACAGTAAATTTATAAGCGCCGGCGTTTATAATTTGTCAAATTTGAAATTTGTTTTTTAATATACCAAATCGAAGCATTCTCAAAGGCGGATTCACTTGGGTCGAGAACGTTCGAAACTGTGCATGCATTGCGTGTGAAACGGCCAACAAGGCGTGGCTTCACGCCTTCCACGCCTTGTTGGCCAGGCCAGGTTCATCGAACGTGAACCTGGCCCATGCCAGTGCACACGTACCTCGCATCACAGCGGCCCAATCAGGGTTGCATGCGATCGTGGGCACGTCGTGGTTCAGCCACGGTGTGCCCATCAACAGCAAAATTCCCCGCCACCGAGGCAAGGAGCTGCCCAGCTCAGCTCCTCTGCGGGGAATCTTGACTGGGGCCACCCTTTTCCTGCAGAGGAGGCCGCGCCGCGAAAATGAAGGGGTCTCGGGCGAGGGCTTCATACAACCCTCATTCTCGACTTTTGCCTTCAGTTTCTTTGTTCGTTTGGCCTGCCGTGGCCATGGCGGGCCTTCCAGGCACGCATTTCTTGTTCCGCCGCCATCCTGCTGCCAGAGAAAACACCCGCCGAGACACCTGTGACTACTCTCAATGGCAGTCGCGCCCTGCGCCCGTCCCTCCGTGTCAACCAGTAGCTCCTCCCGTTCCTCCCACTCCCCCAACTCCTCCTGCACCTCCCGCTCCCCCGGCGCCTCCGGTTCCTCCAGCTCCTCCGTCCCCTCCTGACCCGCCTCTGTTTTGTGCTCCACGTCAGGGGGTCCTGCAGCTTCTCCTCCCTCCTGGCTACTCGGCGTTTGACGCGTACCTGTCCGAGCCCGACCGCGCCGGTGGCGCATCGTCTTCCTCCGCACCGTCGCCACGCTGGGGAGCCCCGACTGATTGCCCGTTGGACGAATCCGCGACTGGTGCGGAGGATGACGTGGAGTTTTGGGTTGCCGACGGTCTTCCAGAGCACCTGCCTATTCCCACCTTCCCCCCCCCCAATAAGAAACGGCCCCACCCTTCTCGCGAGAATCGCGATGCCCGTCCTCCCTCCCCCAGGCACAAGCCATCAAGTCACAAGCGGCACTCTTACACATCGCAGGAGAAACTGCAGTGGATTCTCAAGCTTGAGTCCGGGCACATGAGCGTGCGGCAGATGTCTCACCAAACCGGCATTTCCCGAAGGTCACTCGCAGAATGGAAGACCCGGAAGGCTGACCTGGAGGGCGCGCATGCTGCTCGCAAGCGTCTTCATGGGCGCGGAAGGAGCTCGTGGTATCGCGACATGGAAGCTGAAGTCTACAGGAGGTTTCTTGCCCACCGTAAAAAATGTCTCGCGGTCTCGATCGCTCGCCTACAGAAGTGGTCGCATGAGGTGATAAAAGAATTGCACCCATAGGTAAAGTGGTCCGGCTCGCAGCGGTGGACTGAGCGGTTTCGCCGCCGTTGGAATCTGACAACCCGAGCGAAGACCAGGGTCGGCCAGAAGCTTGCTGCCAGTGAGTTTTGTGGGAAATGGTTGCAGTTTAATGTGTACTGCTTTGTGTTGTTTGTCTCTTTATGTTTCACGGTTGAATTTTAACGCGTCATTAATACTGTCTTCTCTCTTTCCCTCCCACCCGTACTCCCAGACTGCGAGACTGACGTCAGGAATTTCTGGAAGTTCGTGCGTCACACCCGCCGCCAATACAAGATTGACCCGCAGTGGATAATAAACGCGGACCAGACACCACTGTGGCTCGAGATGCCTGCCGAACGCACAGTCGAGGAGGTCGGTCTGCGCTCTGTGCCTATCCGCAGCGGCGGCTATCAGAAGGAGCGAGTTACGGTGATGCTCGCCTGCACTGCCAGTGGTGAGAAGCTGAAGCCGTGGGTCTTCTTCAAACGGAAGACCCTGCCTAAAGGGGATTTCCCTTCAGGTGAGCATTAACACCCACTGCTGCATGTTTTTTTTTTTCAATGTCTACTGATGTTGTATGTGCGTTTATGGCTGTGCAGATGTTACGGTGTCCGTCCATCCCAACGGTTGGATGGACGCGGACGGAGTCATCGAGTGGCTCGACGGGGCAGTGAAGCCGTTTGTCCAACCCAAGTTTGGAGTGAGGCCCCGCAAAGCGATGCTCGTCTTGGATTCGTACCGCGGGCACCTGACTGCGGAGGTGAAGAAGAAGTTCGGGGAGCTGAACATCGTCCATGCCGTTATCCCAGCTGGCTGCACCTCGGAGATTCAACCTCTGGACGTCGCGGTGAATCGCTCCTTCAAGGCATACGTTCGCCAGCTCTACCGGGAGTGGTTCGAGAGCGAGGGGGTCGACACCTTGACAAAGAAAGGTGAGAGAGGCGGGCCATGCGTGTGCTGCTTTAACAGTTTGTAGCGGTGGCTGACTTTTGATTGTTTAAATTTTATGGCAGGCAACATCAAGAAGCCACCACCCGAGCTAACGCTCAAGTGGATATCAGCGGCTTGGAAGGCCATGCCCAGGGACTTGATTCAACGGGCTTTCCTCACCTGTGGCATTAGTAACGCCCTGGATGGGTCCCAGGACAAGATATGCCTGCAACACAGGCGCGACGAGCTTGAGGGCGACGAAATAGACATCGACGACGACATTGCAGCAGATGGCTTTTTCTGCAACAACGTAGAAGAACCAGAGTCGGACTCTGAGGCCAACCCGGATGATCCTACCGCAGCTGATGACTAGATTACGTAGATCTAGAAATTGCTGTAGCCTGTGAGACTCGTAGGTAGATTTAGAACTGTAATTAGAAAAACCTGTAGACAAACTGACTTTGTAATTAATTAGATGAAAATATAAGTTGTTAATGTGGTTAGTGAAGCTTGTAGATTTTTTTTTTTTTTTTTTTAAGTGGCGGTTATAATGTGTAAGGTACAGGTATGCGGCTATAATCCGTACGACTCTAGGGTATGCGCTTATAATCGAGGAGGGGATATAAGCGCCATATGCCAATTAGAAGCGCCAGGCGCTTATCCTAGGGTGGCGCTTATATCCGGGGGGTGACGGTACCAGCGTAAGGTGGTTCACAACTCTTCGTTAAATGCTTCCGCTATTACAACAAGTCCTACACAGAGTTCACCCCTGCAAAGATCCTAAGGGCTTTTCTCAGCCCAACATGGAGAGCTATCAGGGGGAATTCAACTATCAAGACACCTACAACATCAGAAGACATGGCTACTCAGAAGGAAAGGAGTTCCTCTATTGGTTCTCCCGGCACTACTCCTCCACTTCCTGCCTCTGGCCTATACACAGAGGAGGGTGTCAGAACATTATAGCTTATGCTTTTTGTGTAGGCTGTAGTGGGGTATCCCATAGGGGGTACAACCCAATTAGGGTAAGTACTTGTACCCACTTCATTCATAGTTCATTCATTCTCGTTTGTATTTTCTCATGGTATTGAGCAGGTTCCCTCGTGGGAACTGTTCCTAGGGCCCACCAATCGATTTTTTTTCCTGCCCGGGGCGCGTCCTGCCCCCTGCCCGAAGCGCGCCTAACCTTGCGGCGGCCCCTAGCGGCCCGTCGCCCTTTCCGCAGCGGCCCGCCGCCGCCCTTTCCGCAGCGGCCCGCCGCCGCCCGTTCTGCAGCGGCCCGTCGCCGCCCTAACCCGGCCCGCCGTCGCCCGTTCTACAGCGACCCGCCGCCGCCCTAAGCGGCCCGCCGCCGCCCTTTCCGCAGCGGCCCGCCGCCGCCCTAAAGCGGCCCGCCGCCGCCCGTTCTGCAGCGGCCCGTCGCCGCCCTACCCCGGCCCGCCGCCGCCCATTCTGCAGCGGCCCGTCGCCGCCCTAAACCGGCCCGCCGCCGCCCTTTCCACAGCGGCCCGCCGCCGCTCTAAAGCGGCCCGTCGCCGCTCTAAAGCGGCCGGTCGCCGCCCGCTCCGCAGCGGCTCGACGCCGCCCCCACCGCAGCGGCCTGCCGCTGCCCTAAAGCGGCCCGTCGCCGCCCTATCCCCAGCGGCCTGCCGCCGCCCTACAGCGGCCCGTCGCCGCCCTATCCGCAGCGGCCCGCCGCCACCCGAGTGCGGCCCGTCGCCGCCCATCTTTGCTGCGGCCTCGCCGCCCTCACTGCGGCCTCGCCGCCCTCACTGCGGTCTCGCCGCCTCCTGCTGCGGCCACGCCGCCCTTCTACTGCGGCCTTGCCGCCCTCTACTGTGGCCTCGCCGCCTCTCACCTGCTGCAGCGCCGCGCCGCCCTGCAGCAGCACCGCCGAGCCGCCGAGCAGCGGGACAGCCGAGCCGCCGAGCCACTCAGCAGCCAAGCCGCCGAGCAGCCGAGCCGCCTAGCAGCCGAGC